CTAGAGTGCAGATGCTTCCGGTTGGAACTGTTTACATTTTGAACTTTTTCGCAGATATCTACGTTGTCACTGTTGAAATGAAAATGTTTACTGAAATTTGTCAAAGACTCACTTCGCCTCGGCTAATCATCGTCCAACAAGATATTAGTTTGGCAAGTAATTCTGGATTGCAGTGTCTATTCAATGCAGTAAGAAAATACTGGATGCTTCAAAACACCATACATAACATTGGAATGGATCACATCATTCGAGCAATTGAAAACCCCGGCGTAGTGGTTAACATCCATACCTCTCACGCCAAAGTCACGAGTTCAAATCTCACCCCCGGACACGTCACGAATGACCCAAGAGTGTTAAAGTGACTATAATAAAAAAAAAAAAAACCTGTGTTCTGTAGTCCATGATTTAGACTTGTAGAATGCCTTAAAACCTTGATTAAACATGCAATGTTACTTGGGATGAGATTATTTCTATTAGAACCACGCTGAGTATGTCAAATTTTAATTTTATAGCCTTATTTTCTTAAAAACTTTGGTAGAAGATCGTCCCAAAACTGCTCGATTATGTGATTAATAATAACGGCGTTGATTGTTGTGTGAAAAGCTTGTCTGTCTCTCACTCTAGTGGGTCTGGGTTCAATTCCAGTCGAGGTTATTGAGGTATTTCTTCGGAAGGGAAGTAAACTCTTTGGTGGTAGGGTAAGTGAACCAGTTACGGCATATGCACTAGTTACACAATCCAATATACGCAATGGTACCAGTTTTAGGCTCCTCCCATTGATTGATCGTGGCAAGTTTTTCTAGTAATCCGTGATTTCAAACGATCCCACTCCTTGGGCTGAAGGATTGAATCATTGTGCTGTGCGTTGCTATGCGTGTCAAACAATCCTGTTTTCTGCATTTGTTATGACCGTATCATTTGCAAATGGAGCTGATGGAATTTGAGTTTCAACTGATTTACTCCACCCAAATTAGATAGCCAGTTGATGTATTGTTGTATTGGCCTAGACGGTTCGAAACTTATACCCAGGTTTAAGCAGGATCTAATAGAGAAAAACAGTCCGAAATCCCCCTGGGTAAAAAGCCCGATGCGGATTCACAGGTTTTCCATATTGAATTCGTTAATTAACAAATAATAAGGCTCAGAACTTAAACCAGCATTTTTACCCGAAAAATCACAACATGCGTTTTACCCCGGGGCAGTGTTTGGGAAAATCATTCTCAAATCTCATTCATTGAGCCTTCCGGAGAAAATAAGCTCGCGTGTAAATTTGGCAAGCAAATCTTAATCGCTTAAGATTCTCATGCAAAGCCAAACAATCTTTTCAGCTTACAACTCATAAAAAGCGATCAAACATCAATTGATAGCATGCTCATGCATGTTGTGTTAGTTTTCCATCCACTGATGAGAAGTAGAAATCGTTGCCAAAAAATGTACTAATATAGGTGATATGTTATTAGTTTTTCAGTAATCTCAATCTCAGGTATAAGAGCAACCTAAAGAATGAGGAAACCACTACATATTGGATTTTTTGAATGGATTCAGTACTTCAAGAAATTCATAAGAGTAATCATCACGATTCTTGCTTGCCATAAAGTTTTTAATCTGAATTAACAATAATCATGAAACTTGTTTATTAAATACAGCGCCTTTTCGTAAGTGTATACATACGCTTCATTTAATATTGTTCTTCCATTCCTTACCCCGCACATACTTTCAGTGAAATTTCACTCTCCGGATATTCTGATTCTACATTAAAAAGGTGCCAAGATTATTGATATAGTCAAATAGTTTTCAATCTAGTTTATAAAAGATGGATCCATTATTAAATCCTTGTATCATGCTTGTTGAGATTGAAAAAATGCATAGACTAGAACAAATCATACAAGTCATTGCAAAATCGAATCAAAACTTGCATGTTTGAATCTTAGAGCAAAGGGTTGCTCGTTGAAGACTCCCTCCAACAGGTAAAGGCCATTTTAACCTTCCTGATGTTAGTTTGCGCTGTGAGCTAGCAGTTTCCAAAAATCGACGTTTAAATCCTGTAGTTACAAAAATACTTACGACCTTTTGACTATTGATCCGAGAATGGTCCAGAAAGAAGTTTTTAGATAAACATTAAAAAATGCGCAAAGATTAAGTCTAACCAAGTTGATGTCTGCTGAGAGAGTTAAAACAAGACGCATCAAGTGGAGGAGTTCGATTCCCGGTGCGGTCTAGGAAATCTTACGGGTTGGAAATTTTCTCGACTTCCCTGGGCATTAAGTCTATAATTATGCTTGCCACACAAAATACAAATTCATGGTTGACACTAATAAAAACAAATAGAGCTCTAAGAGAATACGGGTAATAATTTCAAGAGAATCGAATTCTGAAGAGAATTCAACAAAACTGTTAACAGAATTTTAGTCTAATGCTGAAGATAATTGCAAGGGAATTTCTAGGAGTTTAAAATTTTAAAGGAGCTTCAAAAAATTTCTGGGAGGATTAAAAAAAAAATTATGGAGAATCTAAATAGAATTAATGATTATATTTCCAAATGAAATTCTAATTTTTTTTTTGTAAATTTATGTAATGCAGATATTTTAAACATTTTAACTATTGTGTACATTTGTTAATTGGGTGTGGATTGTTTAAACAATTTTACCTAGTATATCATTCTCCGGTAGGTGCTTCCAAAAATTTGGTATTTTGTAATCGTAAAATTCAACATATTTGTAGTTCTCTGACTAAGGTTTCAGCTCTATTGAAGACAACAAAGTTACATCATGTCAAAGTTGACCATTTTGTATGAAAATCGACATGCACTGCTGTTATATCGAACAGCACTGTACATCAATAATCCCTCAGTATTTATTAAAGACATTTTGTTGATTGGTCCAGTTTTTGCATAAGTTTTTCTTTGAGGTAAAACATGAAATAAATTAAAAATTCTTAAAAGGTGTGATGGTGCATGAAAATTCAAACTTGTTAATAAGTTTTCTAAATGCATACGCTGTGAGATTACATCATTAACAAAAGCAGGGCTGGTATGCACCGCAGAGCGATTACAAATAAACTTTGTGCATGCATCGCACAACACTCGACAAAGAGTGTGTGGTTCTCCCATTTGAGGTGCACACTCTTTTCCAACTTATCTTTGAGCAAGCGATCCACACAATGAGTGGTACACTCCGTGCGGCGCAAGGACCGAATAAAATACAACAAGCAGCTAACGTCTTCTTTGAGTTCTTTACTGTTTTTGCTTACCATGATAGCATGCATAGCAGTTGAAGAAGTGCAAAACAAAGAAAATGCTTTCTTCGGAGCCAATTTCCGATGGCAGCCATGAACAAAAGAGATCATTACTATTTTCTTCAGTGTTTTCAGTGTTAATTAACATACAATGTAACTCATGGGAAGGAAGGGAAAATGAAGTCCAGCCTACATTTCTAAGAGCGAAAAACAAAAATTGTGTATGAACTGATTCTATACGACTTAAATAAGCTTCTTTATATGAAGTCCAAACAATACTGCAATATTCGAGAAGTTAGGTACAGAAAATGTGTTGAAGGTATGTGAATCCTAAAATAGATAAATCCTATCATATGATATGTATTGTTGTAATAAAATGATCAACAAAACCAAACTTTGAGTCCAGAATTACTCCCAACTCCCTAATTTTGTAACATCTTTCAATTAACTGATTTCCTATAGAAGTTCCCTAAAATCGATGGTTTACCTGTAAGTTTCTATTTATTTTTTGCGGCTATTTAGCATTTGTCAAATTTTAAAATGGCACAAACCTTTTTAAAAATGTATACCGTGAAAATTCCTTACTTTGTGCTTGCTTTCTAAAAAATCCATCAAACATGATTCTGACATTCATGGACCACTCTATAGGCATTCCAAACACCCAACCAACCGGGAAATGTAAGATACTATTAAACATTTGCATAAAAATTATACAGTATTTGTAATCAACCGAGTATGTAATGTGGTCGAGAAGATTTTTTTAAACAATTTCATAATTATTATGTTAGCAAAATTTTCGAACAAAGTTTGTTTTCATCAATACACCGGGGCTAGATAATCATCTTGTGAAGGTTTTATACGAAATTATGTATTCTGAAAAAAAAAATGCTTGTTCAATAAACTACTCATAAACGCATAACAATTCCATTAGAATGGAAAATCAAGCAAATATGTGACTGTTATGCTTATTTGGGCAGTAAAGTTCACTGTAAGAACTGCCATTACATTTGCTGTAAAATAAAAATGCAGAGAATGACATAAATCTTCACTCACATTTGATGTTCATGCCAATTGTATGCGTGTAAATACATAATGAACCATGAATAAAATGGAGCATATTTACTGTACTGTTTCGTATGTTTACTAAAATTCCGAAGTAGGTATCAATGAATGAAAATGAACGTATCATCAAACTTTAAGTTTACCAAGTTAAGAAAGAAACAAAGAAGATTGGTAAATAACTCTAATGTTGACCTTTGGATGTATAGGTTGGGCTCATGGAATAAAATTTTTTACTTTTATTTTTTTTTTCTTAGCTCATATGAACAACACAAATGGCTACTATTGGTTTGGTTTGGTTGCTAAGGGAAAATTGATCAAATAAGATTTATTTCGGGAGTTATTATACGACCGCAATATTAACGACACATATGTCGTTTTCGTGTTTGCGGTGTAGCTACACCGGTGCTACACCGCCGATTTTTAGCGATGGGCCCAATCTCACATCCATGGCCAACATTAGAGCCATTTCCCCTAATTAGATCAAATTTACAGACGTAAACGAATATTTATTCATCATTGAATGTGCAAATTTTAAAACACAGAATGCCAACGTTCAAAATTTCCGACTAATATTTACACTGATCGCTCCAAAAAGATGAAGTATCTTTCCCAACGAGACAACATCAATTTCAGCAAACGATATCGCACGAGCTGTGTATTTTTACGATCTGAATGGAGCTTGTTTGTTTGGATGTCTTCCTTACTCGTTCTCCTCGTTCATAAGAAAGGCAATTTCGAATTGCTGCTTCCTCCAGCAGCCACATATACGCAGTTTAAATTGCCACCGACCGATGATGACGTGATGTGACGATTTTGTTTAAACAACGCAGCGTCAAATTGAGAAATACTGCATACTGAATTCACACCACCGTAAACTGTCGTTGTGTCAATCTGCCTTGATAATCATTATCTTCGAGCCATGTGAGCATGTGACTCATCGCACCAGGCTGAATGAGTAATTTTAGCACTTTCTGAGAAGGAACATTTTTGCTTCGCACATCCATTGGCTCAAGGAAACTAAGTACTGTTAGCTCAATTGGACATGTCAATCGAGACCGCCAGCACTGGCAATTGAAACAATCTTCACCGTTCTTCCGTTAGATCGATACTTCTTATTTCGCTTTGTTTGAACCGACACTGACATCACATTTTATTTATTTCAACCGTAGCACAATCACACAAAATCCCGACACAGAAAACCTGACGGCTCTTCAACCGGCAGGACCAATTTCAGACACAATACACATTTGTAGATTGAAACTGCGCCATTGCGGCTTATAATTTTCATCACCTAAAAAGCACATCATTTCAATCAACACCCGATGACACTACGAGACACATTTAGTTCCATTTCCTCAAATTCTAGTGTACATCCTCGTTATACTATAGCTGTAGTAGATGGACTTCCTCTAGAATGGTTTTCATATATGTGTACATGAATCAACGTACACGTGGGCGGATCGCTAAGCTTCCCACTTACTGATAAATTCACAGCTAAAAGGCACAAGCTTTATTAACATAGTGTGTCACCTAAATTTCGCCACTAGTGCTGCACTATCCGTAAAGGTGACAAACAAATCACGATATAGAATACACGACAGACGTTATCAGCGCCCGACTTAGCGAATTCCGCGCAAAAAGAACGGATCGCACACGATAGTCGATAGCTTGTGCGACCTTCTATCTCGCGAATTATTTAAAAACTGAGAATATACCCTAAGCTAGTGGCCTGACGTACGCGGCTAACAACACAATTGTACACAACACAACACAGGAAAAGCCACTATACCGATCAACGATGAACGACGACGACTACGGCGGTACTACGGCGCTATACGTTGTGTGTAGGTACTCTACTCTTGTTGTGACTTCCCCCGGCTCTAAACCATGGACAACGACGACGACACGGATAGACGGGAGAGCGCGTTGAGTGAGCAGCACCCGTCGGTGTGTGAGAAGAAAAATAAAAACAAACACACAGAGCAAAGTCAACGACAGTGAGCAGAAAAAAACCAAAACACATTGAACTTGGCGCGATGCTATACATACTAAAATGTATACGGACAGAGGTTTCCTCTCTTAAAGTTCTTCTAGCATCCCCAGGCGGGTGGGGTTGTTCTTAGAACAATAGAGGAATTTAAGTTTAACCCTATTAATTGATCCGGATTCTTAATAGATTTCCAAGTAAAGTTACGAATACTATTTAGCTAATGCCAAACGTCAAAACTTACGTCATGTCGCACCAATCTGTAAACTCAACTTTCAAACTTCAAAGTACCCTAAATTGACCGGAGATTCGCCAAAACATAGAAACTTGTATAATACATATGCAACTAAAAGTTATGGATTGCCTTGTTAGTGGAATACTCATAAGAGCAAAAAAGTGATTAATTTCCATTAGCAGGGTTTCTGAAAAATTCATTTTACTTAGAAAAACCTGCAATATTTAGGGAACTTCATCATTACTCAAGGAAATGTTGATTTGAGCAGATTTTTTAAGAAAAGTACTTAGTTGAAAAAATTTCCGAAATATCTAATAATTGCAATCAATTGTACTTTACTCGCTATTATCTTTTACATATTGATCTTTATAATTCTGAGGTATTAACCGGTATTCTTTAGGTTTTGGAATATGAATACTTTTTACAGATGTTAAAATTGGAAATTTTACAAAATCTTGGCAGGTAGTTCTGAGCTGGGTACTGCGGATGACTTAATCGATTTTATTTTGCAATAATTGCTTAAAAATTGTATAACAACACATTCATTGTTTTGCTTTTCTTCAGTTGAATCCCACCAAAAACTCTGAGCTAGTAGTGCTCTAGCCCCAATGACTCTAATAAAGATTGTTTACATTCTTGTTTCACCAGAGTATGTTTTATTGGAAATTTAACCCAGCTAAGTTAAGCCATCCAAACTGTGTTGAATCTGCTGGTTTCTGCCGTTCATCTTACAATTAATAATGTTTTACGAAAATGTATTGATAATACTTGATGAAAGATAACAACAGTAACTAAAATTTATGACTTCTGAATGTTTGACTCCCATTTGACAGTTCACATCTCGACCAGGAACAGATAAAATATGAAAATCTAAATGTGGTATGATACCTTATTTTGGTATGCTTGTGGTATAAAACCTTCTTTTGATATGATTCAGCTACCGAAATATTTTGTAAAATACAAATAAATACCAAAATAACATTTGATCTTTCAGTTTTTATACAAGACCACCTAAAAGAGTGATTGAATTGGTAATATTATTTTTTCTTTAATATCGTAATTTTTAGCACTTTGGTCGAATTGGTATTAGACGACCTTTTAAATAAAAAAAAAATTGGTATTATGACATCAAAGAAAGCATCCGTTACCCGTTAGTTATTACAATAACTAAATTATTTATTAGCTCATTATTCGTAGAACATTTTTGAGGTATCCTATTTGGTATTTTACCTCTTGTATCAGGCTCGAATAACATATTTAGGTTACCAGTTAATGCGATTTTCATAAATGAATTTGATCTTAATAAGTTATTTTCTCCTGCTCGGGATTGGGTCCCACTTGACAAACAATTGAGTTAGTCCGCAATACCTAGGTTTTGAGTAGAATTCCAAGGCAACCCTGAATAGGAGTCAATGGGAATTTTAATGAAGACTCATAGGAATTTATAAGGTTAATTTCTGAAGGAATTATTGAGGAAATTTCAAAAAGAATTCTGGTGATAATTTTGAAATCTCATTTTTTTTTGGACGGCTCCAGTGTAGTGCTACACATCCATACCTTTCACGCCAAAGTCACGAATTCAAATTTCAACCCCGGATAAGTCACGAATGACTCAATAGTGTTAAAGTGACCATAATAATAATAAAAAAAATAAAAAAAATCTATAATTTAGAAGAGAATTGCAATGGATTTCTGATAACGATTTCAAGAAATTTCTACGGAGAATACGAACCTTAAATTTATTCGAAGTATACAATTAAATGTGAGAATAATTCCAACACAACTTCAAAGATATTTGGAGGAGAATTCCAAAAGAGTGCTGACTAGAATCTATACTAATTGTGAGGAGAAGTTAACTGTGTAACCTGACTTATAACGAATATAAGTATTATCCGAGAAAACACGAACTCGTCTAATTTTACGATCAACGCTGATTGTGGATCTTATGCATACTTGGTGCTCCCGTAGCTTCTTGACACTCAGCATCAACATGAGCAACGTGATCTCTTTCCATCGCAAACAAAATCCCCTTATATTTGATTACTTCATTTCCGGGCAAGCGTAGCCAAATTTAGGACTTGGAAGTTACACTAGACTGTGAGTTGACCCAAAAACCACACTACAATGACGCCTTGATCAAAGCTTATAGACAGCTTGGCTTTAAAACAGTTCCAGGCCAAATAGCACAAACATAAATAATTATTGGCTCAACCTTTGCAAATAGGCCACTGAAACTTCACAAATTTTCAAAAATGTTGCCATTTTGGATCTGCTAATTTTATTTTAAAATGGCGTCTGCAACTTTTCATTAAATTGTAGAACGAAAACGTCACTTCTGATCGAAATGACGCCTGAGACAAAGTTGTTGAGAAACGTAACGTCTTTATGGGAAAAATATACACGATTAAAAAAAAAAGCTCATGAAAATGCAAACTTTTGGAATAGTAATACCATGAACACTTGGAAATTGACAAAAATATTAGTGGCTAATGTGTTTAATGACGCTTATGCCTACTTTGATTTTGAGTCGTAACTTTCCAAGTTTAAATTTTTTACATACATTTATTTATTAAGACAAAACATTGTTAGATAAATCATGATTATAATAAACAATAAACAATTATGCTATGTTTTAGACGAGGTATATATTCCCACGAAGCGGATAGAAAGTACAGTCATCGGCAAAAAAGTGCCCACTTGGTAGTCTTTTCAAATTTTTTCAAAAATGTTGATGATGAAAGAAGTAAAGACCTGGTAATAGTTGCGTAAATCACTATTTATTATGTTCTTTTTAAGTGTCATACGAAAACACTGAAATAAAAAGGAAATTCATTTTCCATAAAATTACTGATCTAAAAAATCAGTATGGCAAAAAAAGTGCCCGCTTGAAAGATTGTTCATCTAAGAACAATTCAGGCATAACATTTGATAATGGCACAAAAGCATTTGTAAACAAACTTTCTAAGGCCCTTTACACGCGAACCAAAGTACACCCACGCAAACCAATACCATTTTCGGAAAGGTGATAGTTGCCCCTATCTGATGATGTTGTTGGTTTGCGTGGGCGTACTTTGGTTCGCGTGTAAAGGGCCTTAGAAAGTTTGTTTACAAATGCTTTTGTGCCGTTATCAAATGTTATGCTTGAATTGAAAGCATGGTACGGCGATTAGTAATTGATTTGTCCTCCTTTTGCTTTCAGTACCTTTAACAAGCGTTTTGGCGTACTTTCCACGAGGTTTTTGAGATGCTGCGGATCCAGATTTTCCCAGGCTCTCCCAAGAGCTGCAAAATAGTTTTGCTTATTGGTGACTCCTGTTTTATCGACACGGACATCGAGAATGGCCCATAAATTTTCGATGGGATTCAGATCCGGGCTCTGTGGAGGCCATTCCATGGGTTTAATGCGGCATGAACAGGAGAACAACTTGGTTTTCTTTGCTGTATGTTTTGGATCATTGTCTTGCTGGAACACAAACTGGTTTTCCAGACCTGTTTTAATCAAGGAAACCTCGAGATTTTCGCGTAGAATGTTGATGTACGTATCTGCTGTCATAATTCCATCGATTTTGACCAGAATTCCCACTCCAGCCCAAGAAAAACATACCCAAACCATAACGTTACCTCCTCCATGCTTCACCGTGCCTTGGATATATCGTTCCTGAAGCTCCTCTCCTGCTCTGCGCCATACATAGACACGTCTTTTGTTATGGATAAGGTCAAAGTTAGACTCATCCGTCCACAGAATCCTTTTCCAGTATTCCATCGGCTTATCTGCATGCTCCCGAGCAAATTTAAGTCTTTTGGCTTTATTTACTTTGCTGATGAATGACAACTTCCGGGCAAACTTACTCTTCAATCCATGTTCTGCGATCCTCCGGCGAATAGTTCGATCGGATACTGGTAGCTCGAGGGTTTCCTGCATTTCCCTGATGGTAACCTTTGGGTTTTTCTTAACTTCCCGCATGATTTTGGTGTCCATTATTGCATCCCTTATGCATTTCCCGCCTCTGCCGGGGCGATCCACTACTGATCCAAACGTTTTGTATTTTAAACAGATTTTTCCAACGGCTGCTTTGCTAATACATTACTTCTCTGTGATGACCCGCTGTGATTCGCCATTTTCCACGTCTCAAATTACTAGTTTATGGATACACAAAGGAATTGATTTCGTTACCATCGTATTTTCCATGATTTGAACAAAAATGACTTCGGAGCATTGTAAACGTGTAACAAAAACGCATCAGATCAAACCTTTTGTATTCAGATGTCAAAACATCATCAATCGATGGGTCTCCTGATGCGTATTACTGAAATTTATAATGTTTTTTTTTTTAAACTGGGCACTTTTGTATGTTACATAATTTTATGGCAACTTCAACAACAATTATTTCTATAAAATCAATCTTTAATAATTCTGTATAAGTAAAATGTTTTTTTTTCTTTGATTTGTTTTCCGTACTGAGTACCAATGCTACCGACGCCAGGAAGGCTGCTCCCACACCTGGACCCTACCTATCGACCCATCA